TTTTTTTTTTTTTTTTTTTTTTTTTGAACGTGAACAAAAAGATATTTTATCTATATTAGAATCGCAGGAAACTCCCTTTTATTCGGCTCTGTTTTAACCACTCTTTTCTTTAAACAATGAACGTTTGCCGTAATAATAGATCGTAATTTTTTTATAGCAATAATATAATTGTAAATTAGTTATTAGTTACATAGAAAATTTTTTCTCATACACTCCTGTTGTTAGAAATAATTCTATCTAAAATTGAGATAAAGTATGTTGTCGGATTAAATGGCTAAGAAACCGGACTGGTCCTATACTTATCTAGAGGGAATCTACTGTGTGTGTGTGTGTGTGTGTGTGTGTGTACATTTTTACATTTCGATATACGGTGAAGAGCATAATTAAACCAATTATAATGAAGAATTTAATATATAATTTAAACCGTTAGGTATTACAAGATATTAAAAATAAAAAATATAAATATTCTAAAACTTTTGACAGGGAGAACGTATTTCGAAACTCTGCAACATTTTCTTTCAACCTCATTTTCTTACAAATCGCCTGCTTTTCGCTTCTTTAATTCAATATACTCTCCTTTAAGCGTGAACAAAAGACATTTTACCTATTTCTTTTCGAAGCTGCTCTACTTTGGCGTTATAGCAAGCCATCGAGTTAAGAAAAGTAACGAATAGAAAATACTCGATATTGCCGACGATCCGTAATAAGAAAAGCAAAGCTTCGGGCGTGTTGTTTCGCAGGAAATTGCTGTCCAAGCTTTGTACGGCGAAACCTCGCTTGAAATCATCCATGGATAATCTGTAAACCATTCGCTGTGTTTGACAAATTGACGCAATTAATCGCGGATTGGTAAACTTTTCACTTCGCGGGAGGCCGAATAGAAGATAAGAAGCCATTTGAGCGGGGAAACCTTTCTTCGAGAGCTTGGAATATTAATTCGGAACTAATCCCAGCGAACGAAGCATCCTGTTTCTTCCTTGTGCCCCTGTCCTCTTTGTCTCTGGACATTTCGTGGATTTCACGGTGATCAACTACTTTCTCCAGTAATAAAATTGCTTGAATCTTGTACTCGTATCTGCTCAAAGGGTCCAGAACCTCTAGTTTCTCATCGGCTGGAATTTTATCAAGCTCGGCGAGTGGATCGGGATCCGCATGAAGTCGAAGGATCACTTCTTTCTGAAAGTCGGATGTTTCTATTTTAGCAGATTTTGGCGTCCTCGATTCCCTCGGGGTTTTGGACGATTCTTCTGCTCCCGATTTATCATTTGAGGAACTCCTTCCTTTGTTCGAATTCACTGTTCTTTTAGTCGATTGCGATCCGATCTCGTTGCTTTCACCAGCTCGATTACGTTCTCTGACGATATAGAAATATTTCATTACGAAAAACAGTAAGGATATTTCGACAAATTTGTGTCTTTGTACGTCGATGAACTTTGCAAAATTAAAACAATTTTTCAACGTGCATAGGTCAATATTCAATATTCATAGATCAATATTTTTTCATGAAGAACGTATTAGATTTGTATTGATTCATGGATTGGAAAATATATGATGCCATTTTTTACAGAGAATCTATTATGTGTTATATACGTTTCATTCATTTAAAACCCATATCAGCAATTTATTTAATAACAATATTTTAAAATATGTCGAATCTTGCCTTTGTTTCACGAAAGCCTCCCAGTAACTCTCGTAAACATCGTCGATGACCTGCCGAAGTTGAATCGAACACGAACTTCCGGCGAACGCTATAACTTCCGTGATCGCTTTGTCTATGCTAAGGACTGGAATTTCTAAGACCCTGGCGCTTCTGCACGCAGCTTCTTGATACTCTGAACGATATAAATTACGATCGTTTAGAGAAGATATCGAGCGACAAATTTATGCGTTCGAATAGATTATATGATAATTAATAGTGCAGATTAGGCTTTGCCACAACGTTGTTGGATTCGTAAAGGGAAAGGATATACATGTGTGAAATGGAGTACCGGTGAAAGGGGCTCCGTGGAAAATAACGCAGACTTTCTTCTCGGGTTTAAAAGGGTCCGGAAGATGGTCGGGTTTTCGCTCCATATTCTCGAAAAGTTCTTTCACCGGGTCTTTCATTCTACTTTGGAAATCTGAATTCTTATGGAGATTGTCTATGTAACCTTAAAATACAAAAACGTATTATCTGTTATTAGAATTTACATTGTAAATGTAGCAAAGTGTCTAAATATTTTCTTTTTTTTATTTTTAACGTGTTTCAATTATAAAAGTGATAAACTGAAGACATTTAGAGGTATAAGTTGTGTCTATGCATAGTAAAATATAGTAAAATATCATAATAATGAAATTGAATTTTAAAACCGAGTATGTAAGCAATCGTTGTTTTTTTTAATATGCAAATCCAGTTGATTAATACTTTGTTATGACCAGATTGTGAATTTTCATCCAATTTCATCTGTGAACATTACACACTGAAACTTGATTAACACGCGAAATTTATACATTTTGTCTACGGAATATCTATTTTTTATAAAATATTATGTTACAGTAAAAGCGCATTAATATTCTACTTTTGATATTTTATATACTTTTGCGTATCGCGTGTATTTTCTATTTTTATCTCCACAAATTTCCCACAGACGCATAAAAAATTCGTAGTTTTATGACTAATTATCACAATTCCAACAAAATATTTACAAAAAAGCAGACGTTGGATTTCCTCAGGGTCACTCGTGGGTAGAGGGGCAGATTCCACCACGGTTTCGTCCAAAAGTGAAAAGTCCGAGAGATCCTTTCTGTCCGAATCTTCTGTGCTAGACAAGTCACTAACAATTTCATTTCTTCTTCCGCGACGGCTAGATCCACGGACGCTGCTTTTCGTAGATTGTTGAGCAGATCTTCCACGTTTTCTCGTTTTTCTTTTCAATACACTCGACCCGGTCTTTCTCTCCCTCCTCTTGCCGGTGTCGCCTTCGTAATTCTTACTCTCAGGCTTCACTTCTTCCTCCAATATCTCTTCATCCTTCAATTTCTCCATAATTAATGTCCGAGCCATTTCGTTGACTATATCTTTGTAAAATTTCGTCAATTGCCAAGGCATCGATTCACCAGGCTTCCTGGGCGGCAACAGTATTTCTTTCACTTTGTAGTAATGCAACAGAGCTTTCGTTATACGAGACTCCGTCTGAAAATCACTGGATATCGTCATTTTATTAAGGAGGTAATAAAACGAAGTTGGCGAAGTCGTTCAAGAGACAAGTACGAGCTATTCGAATTGGTCAACTCCAATTTCTGTAGATTTTTGATTTCATCATTGGACCCTTTTGCACGATAATTTAACAAGTAACAATACCGACAGATTGATAATAAATCTTTTCCCCAGAATCGAATAGAAGGCTCAGTTAGTTGTATGATTTATGGAATTTAGTTATAAAACTGTATCTGTAATACGTACTAAAATATTCTACTTACAAATCATTACAATTCAAATGGTAATAATAGAAGTCATTGATTCGTTTTAGCAATTCTAAGAAAAGAAAATTCGATGTTCGTTGGTAATTCTATAGTAGTGTTAGTCATCTAATCACTGAGTTTCTTACTATTGTATAAGAAAATTTATTAACACTGATAATTTGTAACTCGCGACATGTAAAATATGGCCGGTAATATTAGCTCAATTATGCAAGAGGACAATGGCTACGTAATTAATATTCAACTTCGCTAGAAGCACATTAATTATATACATCTGTGGAATGATTTATGGTAACAATAATAATAAATTCAAAGATAAATTTTGAAAAACAATAGTTGCTAACATCATTGCTAAACCGCCACTGTGGATGATTATACACTAATGAAAAAATTTTAGGGTGCCAGAATCTACAGACTGTGCGTGATGTATAAAACTTGATCACTGGATCTTTTAAATATCTTAAAATTTTTATAACGTAAAAGCAGTTTTTACGATGTAAAATATAAAAAAGTAAAACTATAAAACCTGAAAGAATAAAGAAGTGTACAATACTGCAGAAAATTCCATAATTTACAATACTGTAGAAAATATTGTAGAAATATCTCAACTGCTATAATTAAACTCAAAAAGCAGATTTTTAGGCAAAGTAACAGAAAATCCACATCGTGTCCAATCGTACTCTTTGTGATATTTGACTTTGTAAAATAATTCAATAATTTATCATATCCTTACTCGTCCAAATGATGCCAGAAAAACTCCACTGGATAATTGCAAGTGTTTTCAATCGTAAAAACTCTTTCTTGAATGTCCGTAAACGGAACAATAGGTAGAAACTGAATAGTCGGTTTTATTATGTTCAAACTTTTCTCGATTCCACGCCCAGTTAATGCGATAATCTGCATTTCAAGGCTCATTTTCACAATTACCTTCAACTTCGTTTCTATGTAGCACTGCAACGATTAGTTCTTTAAAAGTGTTTTTTAAATGCTACTATCTTTTTTTTTTTTAGTTTTTACCGTTTTTCGAGGCTTGAAATACACGCGAACGACTTGGAAATGGCCAGGTGGGCAGTGATTTGTGTCGTACTCCACGTAAAATGGATAATCTTCCTGGTGCTTCTTACGATGAACGTCCGACAATCTCGCCTCCCACTCGCAATCGACTAGCCCCCTGAAAAATGATTTCAAGATATGATTCTGAAGATAGAACGGGTTTCAAGAAAATGAAATATGCAAGACCATTAAGCACGGTCGCAAAGATTAATCTTGCTACCTTAGATTAGATCGTCTTCGACCTAGCAATATTTCTTTAACCGTAATAAATATTTTTTGCTTGAATCGACAGAGTCTTATCGGTATACTTTTAAAACTGAAATTCTACGTGAACTTTTAAACTTTATTACAGTTTATCAAGTAAACTTTTTGTTTAAATCTTTTTTTAAAAAATATAAAAGTATCATGTAATATATGCAGAGTGTCTGAATTTAATTCATCGACGCAATTATCTGTCCACTTATTCGTACCAATGAAGAACAAATTCCAATAAAAGAATAATTTATTACTCGTTCTTGATCAAAATGTGGAGAACCAAGCATTCACCCACGACAACGTCCTGGAAATCCAAAAACTTAGTATTGACGGTGACGTATGGATAAGTCACTGTTCCCTTTATAATCACAGGAATCGTGCACCCGTACAATACCTATATATATATATATAGAATGATATATAGAATTTAATTTTCCAAGCTCGTAATGTCTACATTCCCGTTTAAACAGTGGTCACCTCTATGTAAATCGTGTGTTTCACTTCCACGCTTCTCTCGGAGAATCTTTCTCGTGTAGGATGCCAAGTCACATGAAGGATAGCAGAATCGCCGACCAACAGCTTCGAGTGTTTCTTGAAATGTACTGTGATTCCAGATCTCTCCGGATCGTTCTTCTTCTTTCCCATTCTCATTCTCATTTCCGCGATCCATGGCCCGTAATTAATTATCTTGGTCGTGTAGTGAGTCGTCTGTTCGATGATCAGGTGTTTCATATCTTGAAAAAGATAGATTTGCGTACTTCAAAACTAATTTGTACGCACAATTATAACATAATTAGTATAATACAGTATAACATATACATATATAGAATATTATTATATTTTTATTATTCAAGGAAGTAATAATTGATAATTACGTGTTAAATTTTAATAAATTTCAAAGCGACTGACGCGATGAAATTGACAAACGTTTGCAGCTAATGATCACGTCAATTTAATAATCTCTCATTAATAAGTCTGTGAATTACAAAAGGAGAAAATTTGCAATCATTCACTCGTAAAAAGGAAAGCAAATTCATTCGTTTTAATAACAATTTAACGATCCATTGCTATTCAAGAAAATTGTCTGAATAAATTTCAAGGGGATAGAGTTTATAATCGTTCGCACAGTATGCATAATGCAGAGCGAATAATATAAACGCGCAATTACGCTCGATAAAAGGGGTTGCGAGGAGCAGAACATACCAATAACGTGCTCGGATGAAAAAAGTTGAGGAATTGGCTCGTTCTTGCGAGTGGTTGCATGCTGCATTAAAATGTATGAATTTGCATCGACGAACTTCCTTGCCAACCACCTTTCCACCGCCATGTCGATGTCCATCGTTCGTGGAAACGTCTCGCCGCACGGAATAATGCACCATTCCCCGGCTCGATGAGAAAAGTACACCGTGTAAATACGAAACGACAGACGTAGAATACTTAAGATTTACCTGCCGTCGTCATTCTTTCATACCGTGAAATATTAATTCATTCTAGATACGACAAACAGCTCTACGACGCTGTTTAACTTTGTAATAAATTCATCGCTCCCGTGAAACATCGTAGCAATATTTAATCTTACCAGTTAACATCTCCTCGTCCGTTTCGAGATGATCGGCTATATTCTCCATTTTCTGTGGCATACAATGACACACGAAGTCCTCGGTCAATGACTGGATAGCGGAATATTCTAACTCGGTGGAATGATATTGATGCAACTGTCCTCGAGAGACGCATGGATAAACTTGAGGAAAGGCGCCGTAGGCGACTACTTCGACTACGACGGGTACCAAATGACCGATCTAAACAATCGTTTAATTCCATGGTACGTCAAATGAATTATTAATAACTAGAGGGACTCGTAACAAAAGCAGTGTTCTTCGGGAAAGTTGAAGAATATTAAGTTCGACGAATATTTGGCGGACGATCATGAAATTGGAATATTTAGCAGAATAGGGAAGAACAGTACAAACTTCTCGTCATCATATTGCATTATGTTACGCATCCATAATCGATTCGTAATTTAACAGATATACGCAATAGTGTATTTTTAGAGATTTTTAAATGATTTTTCGTAAAATATATAAATGGAAGCTGTGTGTAATTTATTGTAATTATAAAGCTTCATTGTAACGCCTCTAATGGAAATTTCAATACTTCAGTCGTCGGTGATTCTAGTGTTAAATAGTTTAATTGTACCTCCAATTGAATTCGATGACTGATAGGGCCAAGCTTCGTTGCCAGATGATTCACGTAAAATTCCACGGCCGATTCAGCGTCCACAAGGCCTTTATTCGGTTGAATTATTAATGGACATACATCGAATCGTTCGATCGCCTCGTTGGAAACTATCTCCGTGGCTTTTATTTCGTAATCAAATGCTATCATGCAGAGGTTTTTCAAGACAAGGGTCTTACGAGAATATTCCAGGAACAACTGTAATACATTTTAAATAATATATTATAAACAATTTACCTTAATAAAAAAAGTTAACGTTTGTAAATTTTTACAACTGAGAAGGCTTTCGTTTAAATGATTTATTAAATATTATTTAGTAAATAAAGTAAATAAATCTATTAATGGTTATCATTATCGTCTAATAAAACTTTTATTTGTTACGAGTAATTTATTCATGATTATTAACTCTCAAAGGTTATCACGAATGAAAATTTTATATAACGTATAAAATCGAACAATAATGAAACAGTGACCGAACCATCCAATTTTCTTATCTAAATCACCTTTCCCTGGAAATTCTAATATTCGAACTTTCTACTATCTGAACACTCTGTTATCAGAATAGAATATTTACTAGTAATGAATGCCTTAGCTTGTTTTGACTTGATGTGTTTATTTTATGTGTACTTTATCGTGTTCTTCGTAATTGTAAAAAAATTTACTATAATAACACGAGAGCTATAAAATTTTACTAAAAACAGTAATATTGCTGGAACATAATATAAAAGATTGTATTTAATTCCGTGATAAATTAACCTTTCGTTTATGAGTGGACAGTAAATAAGAGTGATGAGAATGTAATATAAAGCTCTGCAAAATTCAAAAATAAATGGATAACCTTCTTAAATATAGAAGTAAACTGACAATTTTTTTGATGTTCATTCTGACAATGTGCAATTTAATTATCTGAAAATTCTATTAATCAAACGCTTTTACTTCTTTTAATTTATTATTAATTCCCTAAGCAAATTTATAAGAAAAGCAAATTTATCGTTATTCCAAAATAGAATTTGTTAATAAAAAGTCTTAAATAACAATGAATAAACATTAGGGTTGCATGAACACAACGTTGGTTCTTAATTATCGTCCCATAATAATGCCATTACAACATTATTTACGATCACAATGAGCAACTCTCCTATTTTTATCTAACACTGGACAACGATTGAACAAGCAATTGACTATCAGTTTCTAATAAAACGAAGCATAACATGTTAAAATAAGATTTAAAAGATGATACTGCACTAAAATTTCCACCCGTGACATTATTGTTACAAAGTTCATAACACGTAGCTCCCTAAGGGTCGAATAAATAACACGCTTATTATTATTAATCAGAGACAAAACACGCGATATATCGTGTTGTAAAATGTCATAAAATTTCAGGAATTGTAGCGTAAGATATAAGTAGTGATATGAGAGAGCCACGTTCGTAGGATTAAGTGGACATTCTCATTAGACAGTGAAAAATGTGAATACCTGTTGACCAAAATCGATAACATTCATGTCAAACGCGTATCGAATGGCGTCTGCGCGAGCTAGCAGATGAATCCGCTCAGTTGGTCCACGGGATATCTCGCAGACAACGGTGGCTTTTATTCGAAGCCGTTCGAAACCATGAAATCCTACGTGCACTCGTTGCACAGAATACGGAAGAACCGTTCCCTCGTTTGGGACGATCTTCAGAACCTGAAAGGATATCTCATACGTGCTGGCATAAAGTAGAGCATTATATTTCCTCGTAAAAAGTAAATATCGGGCTTTGTTGTATCTCTGTGCAGAGATCCTAGATGAATTTTTTTCACCTAAAATAAATTCTCTTCCGTCTGTCTGTCACTATAATTTTATCTTCAGTTTCAACAATTTTTATTTGCAATTATTTCAAATTTTCTTTTTCTGTCAATTTGTTGCAGATAAAATGGCTAAGTTTATAACAAAAGTTTGATAAATGTTCGCTATTTTGAGAATAATGCTAGTCAAATTTCGACTCGCAAAATTCGATATGTGCAGTTTGATTGTTGTGAAGCAATATTATAATTGAAATTTTCAGTTCTTGTTCCAGTCTTTATATTTTTATTTTCAATATAGCTTTTCAAAAAATTGTATGCGATATGTCTAAGCGAGTTGAATATACAAGTTGAATATGCAACTTCTTTCACTTTTGTTATAAGTAATTTCAATGAAACATTATGGAACTTATTTTTATCTGCAAGACACATTAGCAACGTTTAAACTTCTGGACAGTCTATATATGCTATTCTTTCTTTCTATATTTTTATTACTATTTTTATTACTTATTATTAAATTTATTATTTATTATTTTTATTACTTATTATTAAGTTTATTATTTTTATTTTATTACTTATTATTAAATAAATACCTCGTTGATATAATGATCCTTTGGTGGATCGGTGTGCATGCTCTCTAATACGACTAGATCTTCATCTTTCTTAAAATACGGTCCAACAATCGGCATTAAGAATTCTCTTATTTCTTCTCGAGATACCAAGCAATCGTTCATTTCAGAACTTTGTTCTATGACAGGAGTTTCCACGTTCTGATTCTCTGAAACCGGGGCTGCAACAAAATCACGATAATTAAAAAATAAATTTTATTACAGGAACATGTGAGAAAACATTGAATTGAAACAAGTAATACAATTTGTAGGAGGAGGTATCGTGTTCAATGGTCTGCTTTCGTCTTTTTGTTTATCACTTGTGTAAATTTCTTCGTCTGTCTCATTCGGGACAGCAACTTCGTGAATCTCGGGTACATCCGCTTCTAATTTTCCTTTCCGCGATGAACATCCAGGGCACTCCTTTTATGCGCACAATAATTATTAATATTTTAATGTACTGTGAAAACGTTTTATATTACCTAGGAAAACATTTTGTTTTCACGAATTTATTTGATGTTGTTTGAACCCCTGGTACCTAATCGTTGGGTGTCCAAAATAATTCAGTTAAAAATTACTAACATTTTTGAATATTTCGTTTTACTGTGTATTTGTTGATTTCATTTGTACATTTTCTGTGATAGAATAAACTATTTATTATAGTTATTATATTTATATATTAAACTATTTATTATAATAAATATAATAAACATTATTATATTTAATAATATTATTTAATAATAATATTAAAATATATAATAAATATATAATAAATATTATTATATTTAATAATATTATTAAAATAAATAAATATTATAATTATATTTATTATAATAATATAATTATAATAAATATAATTATAATAATATAAATATTTATTATAATAAACTATTTATTATAGTTATTATATTTATATATTATTAAACTATTTATTATATATGAAGGAAATTTCTATATGTAGATTCCACTTTTTTAGTCATAAAAGTTTTAAAATGTATAAAAATATTTGTAATATTTAATATATCTATTTAAACAGATAGCATATTTGAAGCAATCTATTTCTGAAAATTTCTAATACAAAAATTCGCAATCCAAAAATAATAACTAAATAACACCATGAAGAGAATACCTAAAGATTCATTCAACAATTTGTGGAAATATTTATTAGAACTGTAATTGATTGCTATTACGAAATTGTCATCAATAAATAGATAATTTAAGACCGGAATATTAACATACAAAAGTACTTTAAATGATCTTTATATGTTTCGAAATTTATTTGAGTAACTTTTTCGTAGAAATTTAGAAATTCATTTCGAAACTCACGGGATCGATGTCCGTATCACGTTGTATCTCAATGGAATCTGCGAGCCACAGGAATTTATACACAACCGATACAGGTCCGTTATTGGTTAGCGTTAATATTTTCTCTGCGCTTGAACCCAGCTCACAGTTAATTACAAAATCCCTAGGCTCTATGATGAGGTTTGGAAAATTCACGTAACCTTTGCACGCGATTTTATCCTAAAAGCAATTCTTTCAAATCATTCAACAATCAAACGCTACCGACAATTAAAAAATAGAATTTCTAACAGAGGTATTAGAAAGATAGAAAAAAATTTATAATAGTATGGTGTATACAAGCTTTTATTTATATATTTTGCAAAAAATTATTGAAATCTTTAAAAATATATCTACACTGAGTGTCACTTAAAATCAAACACCTAAAAATTTTCGATCTTTAAAGCTATTGTAACTGTGTGAAAAAAAATGTTATTTTAGAAGAAGAAACATCTCATTTCAAAGTCAAAACCTTTATTTTCATAATGTAACCGTTCATTTTTTTCTGAAATGTTTCTGTTTCAGATAAAACGAATAGGAATACGAAAACGTTTTGTTTCGTCAAAAATTCTACAAATTTTCATAGTATGCGAAAACATTCTAATTAAGTCTGCTATTGATTGCAACACGATCGAACTCACAAGTGACACTCGCTATATATAATTTCTAAGAAAGATTACGAATTAATCGTTTTAATAGTTGAAGTATTAAATAATTTCTAAACGTGAAGAGTTCACCTGATTAGGATGTTCCTGATATTCAAGTCGAAGTACACCAGAATAACTGTTTGAGTAACGATCTTGAATATTGCTACTGAAGAAAAAGAAAACACGAATTGTCGTGGTAGCTCCGTCAATCAGGACAATTTGCATACTTTGCACGTGTTCTTCAGCAGCTGTTACCAAGTGAAATGGTTGTCTCACTGACAGTTGAACGTTAAGATCCAGCTTCGATTGATTAGTCACCAGTAATTCGTCTAGACAAATAATTTCATCACTGATGAGTCAATATTCGAAAAAGTTGCAGATATCCTTTCTTGTATCCAACGATATAATAACAATGCAAATCATTGTCATTTGCAGCATGCAAGCAACGATATATCATTCTCTAAATTTCTCGCCAACAATGATGTATCGTTGTTCGACATCGAAGTAATTAATTCAGAGGAAAACTGCAAAAAATGAAAAACTAAAAAAGAAAAAGTGTCAACCCTATCCCAATCTCACCTATGTAAGTGTACATAGTACTATATTACGTGTAGACACCTGTTTGTTGCGATTTGTCTTCGTCGGCACACACGTCCACGCGAAACGTTAGCCTTCTTTTGCTAAACAGAATCTGCGGTTCTGTCAAAGTGACGGTGAAAGACGACGTGCCGATCAATTCCCGTTTTCCTGCACCTTGTGCCTGACCGAAAATGTACCATTTCTCCGCTACACACTCGTTTCTACGCAAAAGAATTACATATACTTGAGTCTGATCGTGAAAAATAATCCAACGAATCCACGCGTGATCGTTTCGTTTCTACTCACACTTCCCAGAACAATTTGCAATAGACGTATCTGGCTTCCCCGGGTGGAATATTGATGATCAGAGGCTGCAGATGGAACTTGGCGCTACGTCCAAGGAAATTTATGATATAAAATACGAGAACAGTGGAATTATTTCGAGTTTTCTTCTTACGTGTGCGGCATTAACATCTGACCACGTCGAAATCGTACTTCTGGTTCGGTTGTCCAGATCACTTGGTAGTCGCGAGATCCTTCGTTCGTCAGAGTTATCGTTCGATCTATTTGTTGATGGCTGAAAGAGCATATATATCAGACATGCTATTTATGTAGGAGATTTATATATTTATATACAGTAGTGCTTTGCATATTCGAATCCCTATTAACAATAGAATTCCCATATTCGCGGAGAATTAATTCCATGGCCAGTGTTACATGTATATATAAATTTCTTTTTATTGCAATATAAATAATCTATTAACACATATATAATTCATATAATCTTATTATATAATCGTATATAAATCAAAGTTATCTTTATGTATAAATTGTGAATTGTGCAAGTTCGTATTTTTGGAAAATGTAATTGAGAATAAAATCTTGATTGAATTAGATGTGTATCTTATAGAAAACACTGTACATATTATATATCATTTTGTGTACAACATGTAATATATATTTTGTGTGTATTTTGTTACAAGTAAAAGAGTTAGATAATTCAGCAACTAAACAAATATAGCATACTGACAATTTTCTCAATCTCCATCTAAATACGTGCAATTTAACATCGAGCATTTCATTAATCGAACATGTCTCCTTATAAATTTGAATATGAGAAGCTCTGTTATACTAGGTTGATAGAAAAGCTCTACTGCCTTCGCTCTTTGAAAGCAAAAATAAATAGATAAATTGTTTCAATTAGAAATTCCATTACTTAGTTAATTTTAATACAAATTAATTTATTTTGATATAACTTATGTATTCAATTTTTAGTAACAGTTCATTTTTCCAAATGACTGACACCGTTCTTTTATAATTTATTTCTCGACGGTTCAAATGTATCGCACATACGTATCCGTTCAACTGTAATTTGCAGAAATCATCAAATAAACTTCTGAATTTAGAAACACGCTCTAGCGATGGAGTTTCGTAATCAATCTCGTTTTACGTTTTAAACAATATGGATAATTAAATAAAATAATTGAAACCTAAAAAGTAGACCCCAATCGAAAGTTGGGAATATCTGTGGTTCGAAAAGGACACTGCATCCATGTCCGGTTACTTTTAACTCTACAAGAATGGTTCGACTGTTGATTATAGACAGCATGACATTATTCTTGTATTTCCCAGCGTCCAGAAGACAGACTTTGACAGTCATGGTTTTCGATTCATGGGGTTCGAGGTCACCAGACTCTGGACTGACACTCCATGCTGAATCTTCGTTTGTCTTTAACAATAAAATCAAAGATCGAATTATACTATAATATTTTTTATTTCTATTTTTGACTGCATTCTATAGAAAAAAATTTATCGTACAGAAGGAAAAACCAGATAGAAATTTATTTCAAGAAGATGATAACAAGAATAATACCAACGACGCGACGAACTGAGTAGGAATGTGTGAATCGTTGATCAGTTGGAATTCCTTAGTTCTCTCTTCAAGAACTTTCATAATGCCAAAGTCCAAGAAACTTGGCTGTGTAGAAACCACGGGCCCTTGTCCATTGCATGTTATCGTTATGCAAGATGATATTGGCGATGAATCTCCCATGATTAACATACTATGGAAATTTTTATTATACTGTCTTCGAAAAAGTGGAAAACTTTTGAAACAGTTCCACAAATTAAAATATACTTGAATTAACCCTAATTCTTAAACTTGTATCAATTTTAATAAGGGTATATTAACTCTTTAGGGCACAACTTTACTTAAAAAGTGTTTAAAAAATGTTCCAGTTCCAAAAATCATAATAATAGAAATGTAATTTATTTGGTACTCAGTTTGTTTAGTTAGGGATTTCTCCGAATTTCTGTGCAGCTTGGAATGTTTTTACTACATACTTACTGTTCCTTAAAGAGTTAAGCACTGTAGATTGTTTTTAAAACCTGTGTCAACTTTCATTATCTGTTCTTCTCTTCCTGTATTATTTTATATTCACTCTTTGTACATTTACTATTGCTTGAAATTACATATTATACTGCTTGGGAATATAATATTATTATATAATATAATATTATAATAAATATCATATTATAACAGTTGATCTCGATCTATATTTACCAATTGCATTTGTAATATTATGAGAGAATAAATATTAGCGACGTATAATTGTGTAAATGTCTAAATAAGGTTATATTAACCCTTAACTCTTCAGAACATAACAATAACAAAGATAAAAAAGCTAAATAACTATTAAGCGTATAATTTTACTTCAACGTGATTTTATGACGTCCCAGGGCTTTCGTAATAATAGTGGCTTCGATAGTTTTCGATTGACGAGCATTGACGTATCCCTGATTGTTGCAAAGAGAACAGATCACCGGTGAATCGTCTGAAACCTACGATTTAAAAAAAATGGAAAACGAAATGAAAAAGGTTCTATTACGCGTAACTATACTTAATTCTGACGTTGGTTGTTCTGATTTTAACGATACTTGTTGAGGCATCAAATAAAAGTAGCCATCCAAGTCGGAATTATTCTCCACAGCGAAGGATCGGAAATAAGGAAAATTGATGAAACAAAATCGAAGAGTAATCTCTCGTGGAACGATCGATAGCGAAGGCACTGCACCGCAGAATATTACTGGCAAGGTGACAGGATCCGAATCAGAGTCCCACATGTCCACTTGAATAACCGTCTGACCGACACGTGCAATATTGGCAGTGTAAATGATCTGCAAATCGTTAAAATCTGTCTAAAGTAAAGATTTAATATGACTAGACTATATTAAAATATATATAATAAAAATATAAAATATATATAATATTATAATATTATAATAAAATATATTAATATAAATAATATTATAATATATTAGAATTAAATTACATTCTTTTTAGATTTCATTTCTTTCACGATGTCCATAAAAATTTTAAAATGCATAAAATCTATAGTCTACTAATTATAAAAAATTGAAAACGAGGAAAATGATTTACCTTGATTTTGAGCGAATCATGAGCTTCCACCATCCCTTCCATAGGGACAACCTGAAATTCTTGCGGGTTGCTCGGGAAACTTGACTTTGTTGGAGCTTTCACGAAATCTTGATGATGTAATGGAGTCTGATCTCCATCATTTAACACGGTTATGGTGAAAGATACAGGTATCAGAGCCAGGTTGTGCAAATGCACGTCTTGCCTAGTACTAAATCCTGTAAAATATATGATCAAATAAAGTAACGAACCATTTTTAACATGCAAGAAATCGTAAGAAATATTAATAGTAACTCTTTAAGATTTGATTTGTACTTCATGCAATCGATTTTTTAGAAGATTTTTATCATTTTTACGTCGCATGATGCGAGTAATAATATAATTATTTAGCAGTTTGTAAACTCGAAATAAACAGACAAATTATTGGATTGATAACATACATGATTTTGTTTCTTTATAAAATAAAAATTGTTACTCTAAGATGAATATAAAAGCCCTTTTAATTACAAACATTTTTTTAATTGTTAACATTTCAACACAGTTGCTCACAAGTATTTGAATAGATATAGAAATATTTTGTAAATATATTGCGTATGTTATTTGAAACATTTTGATATTTCATTAACATTGTAATGAAACTCAATTCCCATGATTACATTTGCTACATTTATTAAAGCAAATCTAGAAATTACAAGATATTCAATATAAACATATAGTATTTAAACAACCATATTTATTCCATTTATTATCAATATGTTTCAATGTTCAAACAGTAGAACCATCTTTAACATTTATTACATATATAAAATAAATATTCAAGCTGTATACTAATATTTTATTAAATATATGTTTGCAATAAATATCTTACGACTTCCATATACATTTTCAGATTGGTTTCTAATTTTATCATAATAATCATAATAATCCGCATTTTAATAATAATATTAATTTCATAATTAAAATGCGGATTATCATACAAAATTGTCATATTCTTGAGAGTATTATCTAGAACCTGGATAAAAAATTATTTTATTACTTATAGAAAGCTTTCTTCATATTATGCTTGTTCTATGCACCTTTTCCCATATCAAAATTTTCTATAAATGTATATAAATTCACTATAAATTTTCTATAAATGTATATAAATTCACAGTCTGCTACTATGTATCATTTCTTTCATGAATTTCTTAAGAAATATTCTTCTGTTTTAATATTAATATTAATATTTTATAATAATTCATTTAATATTAATAATGGTATTCAATAATATTAATATCAATTCACACAATATCCTTCTCCTGAAGATTCTCACTTCTCTTATTAATACTTCAAAATGTTTCGCACAGCACACACTTTGTGTATGCAAAATTTTCAAATACTTTCGTGAGCCACTGTACTCCTCCATTCTCCCTTTCACTCCACTTAATAAAATCATCTCGCGAAGCTTACCGATGGCCGTCGTCCCGAAGTCGAGGCTGTCCTTATCAAAGTGCAAAGTCGGGCATATAATGCATCCCCTGCAAGACAAAAAGAAACGACGCATCGTCAAAGAGAACATCGTCTTGCGACCGGTTCCCTCGCTATTCACCGATCATACGACGTACTTGATATGCAAGCTGAGCACCTCAAGGCTTTCTTTCACCACGAAATCGACCCTCTCGACGAAATCGCCCTTGCGATTCGACGAAAACGACAAATTGAAAGATTTATGCTCGTCTGGTTGTAGTTTAAGGCTAGGCGGTGTCACGTCGATCGTTCCGCCGAAGTCCGTCGGTTTCGTCCTGTAGATCAGCGTACCGCAAATGTGCCCTTTGTTCACCACTATTATCTGAAACAATGGTATCGTTTGTCCGAACAATTTCTGGCTTAATTCGAATTATCTGGGGTGAAATTAATACGAGTCGAGAGGAAGCTTGTAAAGATCTGACGGATGTTCGTAGATCGTACCTCGTAATTGTGCACGGAACACATGTATATGTTCTCCAAATTGATCATGAGCACGTTCAGCTGGATAACCGGTCCTTTGCCTGTTCCGTAAAGACTGTCGCAGAAAGATATACGATTCAATGCACAGTTAGACTGCGGATTTTTATGCATTTACATTTTTTTATGAATAAAAGGATTTCTTTAATCTTTCTTTAATCAATTGAAAATCTTATTTTTATATAGAGAATATGAAGTTATATATTGTATTTGAAAGTATATGGAGGAATGACATGAAATGAGATTTTTTTTCAAATAAAAATTAGACGTTGAAATATAATGAATTTTTACATATTATTATCGTTCATTTCGAAACTTCAAATTTTGCAAAAATACGTAAAAGCTTGCAGTCTACATATTGCTAACACTCGAATTTTTATTTTTAATACTAAAACAATCGAACTCGTTAATATGATGAATTTCTTGAGATTTTTTTTCGTTTTACAATTACCTAAAAAATATGATTATTTTGTCAAAATTAATATTGATATTTGTTTAGACATGAGTGTATAAATCTATTTATTTTGTCGTTTAAGTTATAACGATGTAGAATATTTTAATATGTATTAAACGACAGTAGTTCTACTGCTAAAACAATAGTCTCCTTCATTTATATATAATAGATGTAAAAATTTTATTGACAGATGTATTGATCCTTTTGGTACTGTTTTGACAACTACACGATATCTTGGAAAATTCTATCGTTTTTATATACCTTTTGACAACTACACGATATTTTGGAAAATTCTATCGTTTTTATACCTTAGTGGTATCCTATCTTCGCGGCCAGTCACTTCTAAGTAGGCAGTGCTGTTCACTTCACCGACTTCTAGCGCATAAAAGTAAACTGTAACCTCGGTAGACGATTGCGGCCAAATTTCAGCTTCCTAAAAGATATTTGTAATTGAGTAATAATAATTGAAATTTAAATGTGTGAAAGCATGTTTTGGCATATCATTGCTATTTTACATGTTTTAGTCAAAACGACCAAAATGATCGAGTGTTTTTCCTTCGCATCTATTTCACATTTGTATTTGGATATTATTAGATTATGAATTTTTTTATACATTTATGGAAAATTGAAAATTGTAAAGATACAGATAATATACAAAAAAGAAATATATAAAGCAAAATATTTATTGATACAACAAATTTCTATTTAGACTATTTTTTATAAAAATTTAAAAATACATTTAAAAATAGGAAAATCCAGTCTATTTATTATCCTAGTACAGTGATAAATCGAAATAGATGCGACAAGGTTATGTATTGAATCAAATATAAATATATATATAACATTCGATGTTGTAAAGTATTCTTTTTCGTCACGAAACAAATGTTGACAAATGTGTTAGAAATATGCAAAAATTACATATAATTGATTGTAATGTAATTACAAATTATTATAATTAAAACAAAATTGATTAACGTCTTTTGTGGATGGATTCAAGTAACATTATACTTCATAAATTTATAATATGCCGAACACATTCCACGCAAGTTCTACATATTTCTCGTGCATATTTATATATTTCATAAGCAGATTGCGGAATTTATGTATTCATGGGATATTTGACATTGCAAAATTGCACGATACACATATAATATCCGGGAATACACAAAATATCCAAAGTATTTATTATATTGTTTAGTATCGTTTACTATTCATTGTAACTGCTTTAGTAATATTTAAGAAATTAATTTTTGTTTAACTTTCATTGTTTTTAACTTATTGAAGATTAAACAATAATTTATCGTAACATATTATAAATGCTTCATATTTTCATAATATTTGCTTGAAATTTCACAAAATCATATTTTTGGAATAAAGATTTTTCGTAAGTTCAGCATTAAAAAGTAAAATTTGAAAGGACCACAAGAATAAAAAGGGAATGTTAATTTTAGCAGATTTTGAATTCAACATTTTTTTGCATGCTCCTATTTGTACGCAATTAAAATTTTTCGAATTTTATATTTACTCTGATATATGAGAAAATACGAAGTTGTGACATTAAATGAAGAGACCATGGGAAATAAGGGGAGGCTGTAGCATTTTCTAAAAAAATTTAATGTGACATATTTGAAAAGAATCACAAATGAGATGTTGCATTAACGCTGGTATGTTAATTAGTTAATTAATAAAAATATATAAATGTATAAAAATCTAATTTATTTGCGAGCATAAATTTTATACATAAAATTTATTGCACAAATATCCGCAGTCTAGTAATAATTTATTACTATTAATTTAAGTAAATTATTGTTTGCAACAGAAAAAAAAAACTCACCTGTTGTGCAAACTTAAAACAAACATGATTATACTGGAAAGTTTCTTTCGTCAGTGACTCAAGTTCGTCCGTGTAGATACGTTGATAAACCAATTGGTGAATATCAGGAGTGCACACGTTATAATGAGCGAGGTTCACGCAACGATCAAGCTCGCTCTCATAAACCAAATGGAACAGCTTTTTGTAACTGCAAAAATATTATTTTTTAAGTTAAATTATTTACTTACTTTTTAGTTAAATTATTTATATTTATTACTACCAGCCACCTTGTGACTTTTAGTAAAAACACCTTTCTCGATGTCTACAGTTAATAAAGGAATAATGTGATACTGTTTGTTTCTAAATATTTTTGTTATAAATACAATAAAGACACGAAGGGGTCAAATTACAAAGACAAGAAGCCGTAATACCAGCTTCTTCTTTATCATTTTACTCACTGTTCTTTACGCTCGTTATCCGCTTCGATGCTCTCAAGCTGCATCCACTTATACTTGACGATGTAATTGCTCCTATTGTGGATCGTGAGGATTTTGCTTCTTGATAGACCTAAGAAAGTTTCTTCCATTCTGACGCTACCTCTGTCGATTCGAATGGGACAATTTTCCGCGGAACTCCAGAGATCTATTCGCACTTTCTCTCCTGAAAAAAAGAAACAGGATAATATTAGCACGTGTTTAATCTCTCGGTTTGCCCTTTCTCTTCAAATACCAGTCTCGTATTCGAGGGAGAGATTTCCTTCGAAATCTCCAGATTTATTGGACAGAAAGTGTATAGTGAACTGAAGCGATTCTTCTTCTTCTATTCTACCCTTCGATGGCTCGATCCAGAAGCGAGGGCTGCAATTTATTTCAACTGTTATTATCGTTATATTCTAATATGATTTACGTACGTAAGTGAGTAATTGCGTGTCAATTTATAATAATATTTATTTATATAAATTTATTACTTGTCGGTGTAAAGGACGAAAACAGCTACGGCACTTCCGACGTTACGTACAAATATCGTTTTACAGGAAGGAATTTTCACGGCTGTTGATGGTACTTCGATTCGATCAGGAAAGTCCAAAATCCCTCTCGAACTGATTGCTAAAAATTCATTGACCGCGAACGAGTATTCAAACAATTGTCAATATGAGTCAAATACATACAATATATCTGGTAATATCAAATAATAACTCTAGAGTTCAAAGCATTCGCTAACTCAGTCATTTTTGGATAGTATCATTATTAAAGAATCATCGATAATGTGATTATTCGATAATAATATCATATGCAATGACAATGAGCGAGGAAACAAAATTCAAAAGATTATTATTAATTTTACACGCTCCAAGTGGCATTTTCAAATAGAAAAGAAGATATTAATTGTTTCTGAAATCTCACCTACGACTGGTACTATGAAATCTCCGCGGTCAGTCGCGAATTTCAATTGATAATGGTAGTCCTGATTCCTCTCGGGCATGAACTTCACTTTATAGGAATTCGAAAGACCTGGCGCAAGCATCGTCGAGAAATTGCTTCCGCAGAAATCCACGGAGAAGAAAGGATCAGGTTCAGAAGAACATCTCAAGTATCTCGACGCCTTTCTTTCACAAATAATCGAATGAATCTTGTGATGCATATAATGTTTGACTTTATGCGTGAAAGAATTTTTGAAAATAGATTAACACGTTGACTGCCGCGCGTTTCGCCAGATCACCTGTGACCTTATGATCAATTTTTTGTTTATTTAAATGTTTCTTTAACGAAACATAACTGCATGAACAATGAATTTTTTAAGAATTTATCGACTTTATTAGATGTTCCTACATTTGGCGGGTAAATAATAATGTTATTTTATTGTAATACCAATGACTGAACAATCGTTTTAATTCCAATCAAAAAATTCAGGGTCATCAAGAAGAGTTTAATGATGACACTAAGAAGACAAACACGCTATTGAAGAATGCGAATGAAAAGTTGAAACACTGACGAGTAAAATATATTTACGATTTATGAATACTAATTTTAACAGATCTGCAGTTTAAGTATTCACTGGCTGGTCAAGCCACTCTATTTTATTATGAAACAAAAGCTTCTTTTTATATTATTATTTAATTATTTGTATTATTTGCTTCTCTTTTTCTTCTTGCTCATCTTTATAAGAATAGAATAGAAACCAGTCACCACCAACCATCAAGGCAGTCAATATGTTAATGGTAACTGAGGTTTTCATTATACGTAGAAGCTTAAAATTACCCCAGTCACGTTTCGAATTGTCAACGTCACATTCAAACAATTTCCAGAGGTGAATTGTTGAAATACGATAATGCTAGGGCTGATTTCGAAGTTGAAAGCCTCCGTTCTCACACACAATGGCAAACTGAACTTGGCCCTCCATTTCAGAATGTACTGCGTCATCTCGTCCGTTGTCATTAACATGTATTTCATATATTCTGATGGACGAGCAACGTACTGAAAATGTTAAATGAAGCTCACGTTGACAATTGTAATCTTACAAATAATCCTCCAGTAATTGGCCCATAAGTGATGAGTTCAGTAAATTACGTTGGATACTTTTAACTTTAATTTCTTATTAATATTTCTCTCAGAATTTCAAAATCAATTGATGGTTGTAATAGATCTTAAAGAAGTTTAAAACATTCGCTATATGCTTTACCATTTACAATTTACAATATAATATTATCACTATTATGCGAATATTCTAATAGTCGAACATTCTGTTATCCAAATAGAATTTTTACTGATATTTGATGTCTTTTCTTGTATTAAACTATTTTATACGTGTTTTATTAACTATGTCTCCTGTTTTTCATAATTGCAAGAAACGAATATTAATGAACGTATAAGAGATTACATTTACTCCAGTAATATTAGTGTTTCATTTGTGACAAAGATATAAATATAATTTTTCAACAAATTGAAACAGCAAACGAGATTGATGAGGATATGTATTCATTTGCAGGAATATTTAAAGCTTTTATCAGAAAAAAGTATCATTTCTGTCTCCTTATTAATTAAACATTTATTATTATATTTAAAAATACGTGTGACATTATTTCAATTAAATGGTATTATTAGTCCTGATAGTCACTACCAAACCGCGGATTTTTACGCATTTATGTAAAATTTAGCGATACAAAAGTGCACGTAATATCTTTATAAAAAATATAAAATTGCACAAACATCCGCAGTCTGGTAATCACGAGGTTAATTAAAAAATAACTAACTAACTAATTAATAATTTCCAACCTCTTCTTGATCCTCATCCTTTTTACATCGCAAGCCGCGCAGCAAACAATTTATAATTTCCACCGTGTCAAATTTATGAGGACCTCTCGATATCGTTGTTAAATTGTCCTCGTTCATTTCGCCTGATATTCAAAAAGAACAATTCGAGTCTCATGAATGGCAATTGATTTCAAAATTCGTTGCTCGAACGTACGTGCAATATGTCGATAATCAAGCGGTTGACTTCACGCTGGCATCGATAGTCGAAGAATTTAAGATATATTAACTCTGTCCCTCTCGTTTTAATTATTTAATCTTACCCTTCGAAGGCAAACTTCGCGAATTTTTTAATTAACGATTAACTCGATTAGGAAGCGGTGAATCACGCTACCACTTGATGCTCCAACCTAATATCGCAGATGATATATATAGATCACATTGGCGAGTACGTCAAGAGGCTCTTTGCGAGGTTAATCTAAAATTAGTCGAAGTTTAGCAAGCTACGGAACAGAAGTTCTCAAACTTTGCCAACCCTACCTAATCGTCCCACGCTTTTAATCATATTAGAAATTCACTTTGTACTCCTTTTAATATAATAGGGGGTAACAACCTTGACACAAGATTATCCTTCCCCTTACTGCAGAAAGTAACAAAGATCATCCATAAAATGTCCGAGTGCAATGTATATAGAAGTAGACGAAAATAGTCGATGGGAAATTATATTTCGGTATACCTATTTAATAATTATAATACTTTATAATTAAACACAGGCACTCCAGAAGTCGATTATACGAGCATCTGTTAAAGAATTGTTAAAAGTTACGCAGTATGAAGTTAAAGACTCAACAAATAAATAGAAAATGTTATAGCAGAAGTGTGTATGTAAAGGCATATAATAAAGTACGTGTAACAATGAGTTATTCAATTACAAGGTTACAATATTTGTACTGGTCTCATTTCTCTAATTGTTGAAAATTGTAATGATTATTTGATAATAATTATTAATTGTACGAGCAAAAATAAGTAATATTAAATATATTTAAACTTCATTTTCACGAAAACAAATATTAAGTGGAAATATTTCATTTTACTTTATATTTTACTTTCGCATGTAAAACGATCTTCCATAAGTTATTCATAGTTATTATCAACATTCAAATTTCTCGGTTTCCCCAAAAATGAAGCCTTACATGAGAAAATATTATTCTTTCTTTTCGACTTATTTTTCAAGACATTTGATTATAACACATCAACT